TTATTATTATTATTATTATTATTATTATTTTATTATTATTATTTTGCTAATGCATAAATTAGCACAGCACACATTGATGAAATATTTATTTATGCATAGATAAATAATAAATAAAGGAGAAGAAAGCTACTAATGTCTTTGCTCATATATAGCCAACATTATTTGATAATCCAACGCTAAAGAAATTCAATTACATTTACATGCAGAAAATGAACAAACAAAATTATCTCACCTTTACACACATACAAACTGAGATCGGCAATGTGAAAAATATTAATATATATGACAGTATCGTTAAAATCCAACCACACACGCCAAATTCGTTCTGAATGTTAGCTAAAACAAACATAATATAGACTGAAATGGATTAGTCTCAGCAAAAATGGTAAATTTACTATTTAAAAGTTAATTATTGCCAAGTGAGCTGAGCTGTTAGCGCTCAGAGAAAACAGTTTGCATAATTAAATGCAAAAATGTGCTTTTGATAGAAAGTTTCAGTTAGTTGAAGGCAAAAAATTTTTGCATATTTATAAATGTATTTTCGTCTATGCTAAATGCTAATAATTATTATTACTACTTTTTTCGTAAAATTATTTATAATATTTAAAGGCATATTTCATCGGAAAATAAGTATTAGCCGAAAACAAAGCTTAAAATCATTTTTGTAACAATTTTGTCGCCATAATTTGACTATATATTTTATAAAATATCAACCAAACATGGTTGTGCAGTGAAATGTGAGCATATGCAAACTTCTGTAATGATAATAAAGAAAAGCTGTAGACATTGAGTTTGATTTCATGAATTTTATCATTATTTGTGATAATATAATTTGAATTATTACTAAAATAATATTGTATTTATATTTTCTCAGCATAATTAGTGGTTATGAATATTTTACATCGTTTATTTTTATAGCAGTACACAAAAAAACAGAGCTTAAATGCGCATTGCTCACATAGTATCCGATTGCCTTCAGAAGCTTTAAAAAGAAATAAACAATTCTGTATTTTCGATTACAAATTAGAAGTTTAAAGAAAGTATGAAATAAAGTCCAAATATTTCAAATTTAATTAATATATTATCAATGCAAAAAATGAAAAATGTTGAAGTTAATCAAAGTTTGTGATGTAAATGAATTGAAATTCAGTTGCGCTCAACCAACTTATCCTCGTTATTTCTGTTAAAACTCCCATGACCCCAATTTTATGATCTGTAATAAAAATGTTTCTATTGTTAACTTCTGAGCACTTTTTGTACTTTTTATAAAACTTTTAAGTCATTTTTCATTTAAATAAAACTGAAATTCTCTATAACTTTGTGACTAAGTAATAATTTACAAAAAAATTTTATTTGCAATTTAACAATTTGTCGTTGCAAAAATTAAAAAAATGATAGTAATAAGCGCAAAAAATTCTAAGAAATCTTCATAAGAACTTGAGAAACTAGAAAAAGTAAAATTTTGAAAAATTAAAGATGGAATATCTTAAAACGAAAGGCATTTCAATTATTTTAGCACAAAATTTAATTGGAACTAATAGTTGTCATTAAAAAATCAAAATATTAGCATAAATGAATGCATAAATTTTAACTGTTATCGGCAAGTATTTTAAAAAATATTTCAATATTCGGAATGAGTTGTATTCAGATTTATTAAAGAAGTATTACAGTTAAAGTTAAATTAGACTGTACTTAGCCTAGCTAAGTTCAAATTAAATAAAGTTTTTCAAATTGTATTTTATTCAGATTCTTTGTAGTCTATCAATACTTTACTGCGAGTGATTTAATTATTATTAATATTATCACTTCAAATTTACTGTTCTTCAAAGGGGAAAAGTAAAGTTATTTCTTCGCAGTGAACAAAATCTTTGATAAGATTTATTTATATCCATTTCATTTAAAAACTTTAAATCACTTCTACAGCTGTCGTTGAAAAGCAGTCATCTTACTTTGACAGTAGCAATTCAGATTTGTCTTTAAAAAGCAAAAAATTTTGAAACTCATAAAGAAACTCAAAATGATTTGGATAAATGCACAGAATTATGTTAAGTAACCGGAAATGAATACTGAAATTACTAAAAATAATTGTAAATTTTAAACGCTAACTTTGAAAACTTTTCCACTCAATTTGTCACTAAAATTTGAAACAAAAATAGATTAACACAGTAATCAGATGGAGATATACTAATCAGAAGTAATTTGCAAGCGAAAATGAATTTAATAAAGAAGGATGCCAAAAATGGTATATCGATTGATCAGCTTACGATCAGATTCAGTTGCAGTTTTGGTTTCAGCACTGATAACTGTTTCTTGTTTAGTTGCATTCATACTTGACTGATTGTGCTTCAAACCATTTGGAGTGGTAGCAGTGGCAATTTGTATCTTTTTACCGATAAGTGAAGGATTTTTCGGTTGCTAAACAATAATTCACAAAAAACTGTTTTTTCGTAGCAAATTATCTATGTAATCAATTAACATTGTACTGAATTATTAAATAAAAAATTATTTTCTAAGAATCATCCGTCAGCTAATTAATAGGATATGGTGGTAATTCTTTATTCAGTGAAGAAATAACTGCGCAAAAAATGAGAAGAAAATTAGTTTTTGAATTCATATAAAAATATCAACTTTTAAGCTCATAAAACTGATCCATTCGCATAAATCTTAATATTAATATGAATTCATAAAACTTGTAAGTACGAAAATTTTTCGCAAATTACATTCCAAATTATGCTGATAAAAGAAAGATGTCAAGATGATCTAATATGATCTGATCTGGTTCGTTTAATACCTGTTCAACCAGATTATCGAGAGTTTTCATCGCAATAGATTCAGCTTCATTACTACTTTCACTAATCGCCGCGTCGTCTTTGTTACTAGACGATGCTAATGGTTCATTTCCCTCAGATTCTGCATTATTTGCTAAGGCAGATTCTGTACTGTATGTCGTCATAACAATAAATTATATTCCGTCAGACCGAATTGGAATGTGTGACTTGGTGGTCAATATTTTTGTACAAATACAGTGCTGAATAATTTTCCAGTTATGAAGAAAATTTTTACAAATTGCAGCTTAACTTTTGCAAATCAGCCTGAATTTAACGTTGTCATCAATATAATATATTACATTATATTATATTATATTATATTATATATTACAGAAGAAATCTTTGCAAAGTTCTATATAATATAATATATTATAGCATAATTATGTGCTATGATACATTTGTATAATATAATGTAATATAATATAATAATAATGTATTATTATATAAGTAATGTAATATAATATGATACAAAATATACCATGAGATAATATAATATAACATGATATATAAAAATATATATATAGAGTATGATATAAAATAATCTAATATAATACAATGTGGTATAATACAATATAATACAAAAATAATATAACATAAATATAATATAATAATAGTATAATATAAAATGATATGATATTAATATAGCAATGTAACATGATGTAATATTAATATATACAAGATATTATGACCTTCAAGTAAATAATGATACAGGAAGGAGATTTCAATAAAATGAAATTGGTTTTCGTTGTTTTTGAAGTGAAAAATTAGCTGAAGCAAAATTTGCCAAAAAATTACTTACTAAAGGAGAAGAAGAAATTACGAATAGATGAAAGTCTTAGCTGGTGCGGAAGTCTTGAGGGGCATTACTAATTGAGCACAATAAAAGAAGAAACTGTGACTGTGAAGTAAACTTTTATTCAAAAACGGAAAAAAAGTTATTTTTTCGGAAGGAAATATCACAAAATATTATAGCCTTCAAGTGAATAACTGAGTTATTTGCAATGCATGAAGAAAACTTCTCTAACAAATTGCTTGCTTTTCTGTTATTTTGAAAAAAGCAATAAAAAATATTTAAAAAATTTTTCTTATTCCAACTCTTATTAATTCTGTAAAGTAGTATGTATAAAGTGTTCAGTACAATCATATAATTTAATTCAGATACTTTTTCAGTTCAAAACTAGTAGTTAGTCCTTAGCAGTTACTTCATTCATTTATTCGGTCTAAAATTGACACAACTGAAAGCATTCATATTGCATTCTTTGCATAAATATATGAATGAAATTGCATGCATTAATAAGCATTTCTCTCATCGCCGCTCATTTTTTTAGTTTTGTATTATTATTTTATCTTGATATTTAAGTGTATATTCTATTATTCTATGGCATTTTTGCACGAATACACAGCCAACTGATGTCTGATCGTTATTATAGCTCTTGCTTGCAGACTTGTAATAATTATCATTGCGCCTTTATTTTCAGGCCTTGTAGAAAATCTTTCCATGAAAGGCAAGTATTAGCTTGAAGTGGTAAGCAAGTAATAATAATTGCTGCAATTAAGTGTAATGAAGACATTTACAACAAATTATGATTACGAGATAAATTAGCTACTTATTAATTCTACTTTAAACTACGAACTGCTTAAATATTTCATATATTAGTACTTTAAATAACACTTAATAATTTTGCTTTGTAAGCATTAATAGGCTAAATGAATATTAATCACAACCTTTTTTACTAAGTATAACAGATAAAATGAATTCAAATTTTTATAAATTCGCAAGAGTTTTTAATTTAAAAAAAGTATTTTAAGCTTACTTTTTATCTTTCCATCCATATGTACACATTTCATATCGAACATCATTCACTTAATTATTAATTGTAAAAATTGCCTATTCAATTATTAATTGATATGATTTTCAGATATAAATCTTTGCTCACAAGTGAATTCGTTTTTTAGATTAAGTAAAAAAAGAACTTAAAAAAGCTTCTGAATTGAAATAATCAAATTGAAATTGATGCATGAACTACAATTTGAAATGCAAAGCAGTTTACATCGAATCTTGTAAGAAGTAATCATTTGTATAAATTGTTATGAAAAAAGAAAATGATGAGAATTACTTAAATAAATGGTCGTTAATTTTTCAGATTCTGAATTTACTTGCGCATATTTCGAAAGAGCATTGTGAATTACTTAATACAGTGAAAAAAGGCCAAAAAAATTTCAGCAAAGTTTTTTCAAAGCCTTTGATAAACTGCTAACAGTTAAATTACAGTACCTTTTTATGCTTTTGTAGTGGCAAAGTAAATAAGGAAAAATATTCGATAAAGAATTTTGAACTGAAATGTTAAGTTAATATCCCGATGGAATGTTAAATTTTTTTGTAAATATACGCTGTAACTTTACAAAATACAAAAATAAATTGTCATCATTAACAAAATAAAATAAGATTCTTACATTAGTGCTTTATTTTTATGAATGAGATACCACTAATGTGCTTAGAAAAGTCATTTTTACATACTATGATGGTAATATTTGGGTGCGCACAAAAATTTTTAAAAGAACATTAGCGAAGATCCACAAATATGTATTTGAATATGCGATGCACATTGCAGTTAAGTAGTAGTAAAATGTTTGATTATCAGTTATGTACTCAAATGTATATTTGTGAATCTGAGCAATAATTCCTGAAAACTTTGCAAAAATTGTTTGGTAAGTAATGAGAGACGATCAGAGCTGAGCAAAATTAAATTGAAATGAAAGCAGAAAAGAATAGTATAAATATGAGATAATTTAAAAGTTAATTTTGCCATAAAATTATATATTTATCTTCCAATCAAAATATTTACTAATAGGGTGCATATGTATACATAATAAAAATACTATTAACTCAATCGCTTCCATTCCAAATACACATTACATTATTGGTCTGAAATAATTGTAGACAATGAATGAATAACTTGTTATTAGCCAAATATGAGGTATTAAAATATTAAAATAAAAAATACTTTTTACAGGAAGTTAAAAACATGTATTTTGAATAATTAGAAATAATGAAAGTGAATTCGAAAACAATTGACTTGAAGCAGTAAATATTCAAGTCAGACCTGAATTAGGGTCAAATAGTATGAATAAATTTGTATGCAAATAGTGAACTTCTGCTTGTACTAGTATTCGAGTTGGCATTCGAAATGTAGAATGACATTCATAACTTGGAAGATCATAAAAGCTGTTTGTTACTCCTCGTTTCTGATATCTAATCCAGTATTACAGATCTGTTATGAGAAACAAGTATTCAGAAGCTTTTTTAAATATACTGATATTCTTTGATTTCTTGGATTTAAGCACAAGTAAATTATTTATCAGTGATATCGATATGATTTAAGTATACAATTTTTGCTGACTGCATTCACTATTGTTATTTCGTTTAACAATTTGGGTTTTTTGAATTAATTTTTCATATTTTTGATAAAAAATTGATGAAGTTTTTCGACTTCAAAGTTGTCATTAAAAGATAATTTAATAATTAATTCTTCATTATCAAAATTGTCTGTAGTTACTGTAATTAGTATTAGAGGATTTCCTGAAATATAAGTAGTCAATCAGCGATTTTTATACTTTTAATGTTTTTATTGATAATTTTTATTTACTGACAATTTATTTCAGTAGATTTTTCACTACCACATCTATCACTGGCCG